TTATTTTATAATTTAATTTTTATAGAATTATTACGGTTTTATAATTAGAGTCATAAATTTTACAAGTTAACCAGGTTGATATGTTTTTCATATTTTTTTTTAATTGAATATTTTTTTTATTTTATTATTTAATTTTAATTTGATTTAAAATTATATTTTATAATTTTTTTTATAAATTTATTATTTTCTATGATACAGGTAAGCCAGCCCGACTCAGATTTGTTTTTTTAATTTATTTTTTCTTTTAATCTTTGGCGTCTTTTATTTGTCATTGCCTTCTTTCGGTTGTTTTTCCATGGTTTTCTCCTGGGCTGCTTCCAGGAAAAAAAAAAATCCCATCACTGTATCACGGTTTGGGTCTGGACAGGAGTGAGGGACTTGATTTATGAATCATAAGATTCATTAATGACTTATGCTGGCCCATGATTCAAAGCTTTAAGCCTAATGAAAAAGGAATAGTCCTGAGCTCAGTAGTTATCAGTAGCTGGACTTGTACTCCAAGCCTAAAAACCACCCACAATTCTCGTCTCACCTGCACCCAAACTAAAGTTCTCATACTAAAAAGTTTTTATTTCATCAATCTCTTCTTTTAAAAAAAATTTAAAAAAATCTGGGATGCTATTCAAATATCTTAAATAGATTAAAATTTTTAATCTAAATAGAGAAAGAATCCAAAAATAAAAAGGTAAAAAAAAGGTATTGAGCAGTAACTTCTAGATTAAATTTGAGCATGTTGTTGACCTGAAAAATTTAGGCATCCAATTTAGAATAGAAATTTTGCTCCACTTCAATAAATGCTATGAAATATCATTAAAAAGTAATATTACAAGGAGAAAACATGTGAACGCTGTGAATGAATAAAAAGGAATGGTTTGTGGCAAAAGTGGCGATGAGACTAAAAGTTTAGTGTAGCAAGTAGCTAGCTAGGTTGATTGGTGCTTCGACCTCGAGAGTTGGCGAACACGAGTAACCTACGATTTCCAAAAAGAAGAAAGGTGTATCCATGACAATGAAGCATTTAAGGGCTTCAATAATGAAATTAAACATTTGATGACTTGAATTAATTCATGACAGATTAACCAGCAGCTGCAAACAGAAAGATTGTATTGTTCATTCATCCAATATTACAGGAGAAAGTAAAGGTTTATTTGAAAAGAAAGCTTCCAAGTTCCCAATCACAAGTTCAACCAAAGCCATCAAAGTTTCCTCAGTGTGGACAGCTCTATGCGGTGACAGGACAACATTGTCTAATGCAATGAGCTCACTGGGAACATGAGGCTCGTTCTCAAACACATCCAATCCGGCACCTGCAATCTCTCCTTGCATCAAGCACCTCACCATTTCTTGCTCGTCTATAATAGCCCCGCGTCCAACATTAATGATCAATCCTTTCTTCCCCAATGCTAGCAAGACTTCCTTGTTAATCAGGTGGCGAGTATGATCATTTAATTCACAACAAATTATGAGGATCTCACAGTTAGCTGCTAGTTCACAGACATTGGAATAATAAGGGTATGATACAGATGACTTCCTGTTCCTTGAGCTGTACAAGATATTGCAGCCAAAGGGCTCTAGCCTTTTTCCAACTTCTAGGCCAATGCTTCCAAGTCCAACAATCCCAACTTTTGTGCCTCCCAACTGAAACAAAAAACATCAACATCTTATGGAGAAACAAATTACAGCCATCAACTACACAGAAATAGGATATTTATAATTCAATTATCAGCATATAAGATGGCAATTTCTTTTTCTTTTTTTTTTCCTTTTAAAGGAAAAGGAAAAATAAAGATTCAACAGAGCAGACATTTTGCGTGGGAGGAACCGAAGTAAGCACTCCAACTTCTAGGATCTGAAAGCTTAAATTCGTGGGTCTTTGGTATGTAGTTCAAAGTGCTTTTTGTCTGAGAAAAAGCACCGAATTGATCATTTTTAGGTGCTTTCCATAGTTTTGGCATGCTCACATCAGAAAAACACTCAAACAAGCATCAATTTGATGCCGTTTCAACTCATACGCGTCTTGAAAAGAGCCCAAATCACAGTACAAAACAGTGAGTTATTGCTATATGAGATGACATATTGAGAGGCATTATTTCTACGGTTTATCACCAAACAAGACTCGAAACATTCTCAAGCTTTCAATCAAATTAAAAATGATTCAAAAAAGATATTCCAAATTCGAGGAGTTTCCTAACAATATGCCTTTTTCCCATTAATTTCAACACCTAATTGACTTGTCTCGTTGAGAATCAACAATTTTTTTTTCAGGTGCCTAACAAAATTTTCACCTTAGAGCCAAGAGAAAAATCTCCGTTGTTAGCCCACAATCCTTGGGTGACGTAACGATTTCCAGCCGATATCTTTCTCAGCGCATCAATCAACAGCCCTACTGCTATATCAGCAACATCTGCAGAAAAAAGGCTTCCAGCATAAGCCACAGATACCCCTCTCCTACGACACTCTTGCAAGTCGATTTGGTTGAGTCCAGAACTTGTGGTGACAATAAGCCCCAGAGATGGCAACAGCCTTATAGTGCTGGTGGTGACTGGACAGGTTCCATGGGAGAGAATAGCTTGGACTGATTGCGCATGAGTAGTCAAAAATTGGTCTAAAGGAAGTGGTGAGTCCCATGCTTTCAAGAAATGGAATTTTTGGGAGAGTTTGTCTTCGTGATATTTGAAGACTGGTGGTGGTTCAAGAACTAAGACTTTTGGCTTTGGGAAAACGTTTTGATCATGATTTTCTTGGTGATAACCATTACAATCCATTTTCAATGTCCGGAGGAGATCACCACAGAAAAGGATTTCTTGCTATAAATATTAATTAATACTCCACACATAAAACAGCGACAGGGTTTTTCTTGGTGATAAGCATTACAATCCATTTTCAATGTCCGGAGGAGATCACCACAGAAAAGGATTTCTTGCTATAAATATTAATTAATACTCCACACATAAAACAGCGACAGGGTTTTTCTTTAGATTAACGTAAGTTTACAGGTGAGTTTACAAGTATTATAACTAATTTTAGTTAATAAATATATAAGTTTTTATTATATAAATAACTAAAAATTTAAATTTGAAATAAAAAAAAAATTTAAGACCATCATCTAAATAATTATAACAGGATTTATTTAATAAAAAAAATTATTAATAAAAGTGTTTGGAAACGTGATGAACTTATGTTTTAAAAACGAAATTATTTTTTTTTATTTTGATATATATATATATCAAAAATATTTTTTTATAAAAAATTATTTAAATATAATTTTAAATAAAAAATATTTTTAAAATAACTTGCAAATTTCATGATAAAAAATATTATTTTAACTCATAAATATATTTTAAATTATTATTTTTTACAAAAAAATAAAAAAACTCACTACAAGCTCTCAAATATAAAAAAAAAGAAACTAAAATTATAACTTTTAAAAATAACAACAAAAATAATACTCCACACATAAAACAGCGACAGGGTTTATTTAATAAAAGAGATTGTTAATAAGAAGCGTTTGGGAACGTGATGAACTTGTGTTTCAAAAACAAAATTATTTTTTATATTTTTTTTTATTATTTTGATATATATATATATCAAAAATATTTTTTTATAAAAAATTATTTAAATATAATTTTAAATAAAAAATATTTTTAAAATAACTTGCAAATTTCATGATAAAAAATATTATTTTAACTCATAAATATATTTTAAATTATTATTTTTTACAAAAAAATAAAAATAAAAACTCATTACAAGCTCTCAAATATAAAAAAAAAAACTAAAATTATAACTTTTAAAAATAAAAACAAAAAAAATTAATTAAATTAAGTTAATTCATAAACTCCATACCTATAAATATAGGATTTAGACAATTAATTTATAATAAATGGATAGCTGCTAATATTTAAGAGTTTGATTGATATTATGATAATGATTATTTGTAAAAATATTTTTTATTTGAAAATGTATTAAAAGAATAATTTTTTATTTTTTAATTTTATTTTTTATTTCTTTTAGTGAATTGAAATTGAAATTTTATTACTCATATAATTTTTAAATTTAAATGGAGATCATTTCGATATTTATTTGAGAATGAATGGCTTCTCATTGTATTAAATTTAAATGGAGATCATTTCGATATTTTGGTGAATTCTTTTGGCTTCTCATTGTATTTTATTTTATTTTTTTATTTTTAATTAAGAGTTTTTCGCCATGGATAATGTTGTGAATTCCTTTGGCTTCTCATTGTATTTTATTTTATTATTTATTTTTAATTGTTTTCTAATTTTATATTACATTTCCTTTAATTTTGTAAAAGGAATCTACATGAATAAAATGATCTTTCGCGTCATCAAACACTTCACAATTTCCTTCTCTTTGGCTGTTTTAGGCACGGAGTCCTCAACTCAAGATACTTGAAATTTATGTTTTTGTTTTGGGGTTATGTTCCAGAATCAAAGGTCAGGAGAGGCTCTCATGGTCGTTCGGAGCATCAGATTCATGCCACGTTGACTAGATGAATGTTGATTGTATGAAATTAGCACAATTTGTTGAACGCTGTTAGCACCGCGGCTGAGGAAAATTAATGTTGATTGTATGAAATTAGCACAATTAGTTGAACGCTGCTAGCACCGCGGCTGAGACTGTCTGAGGAAAATTTTCATGTCTGAATATCTTGGCGTTCCCTTTTAGCCTAAGGGACTCCAACTATATTTAAGAAAAAAATAATGAAAAAATAATACTTCAAGACAAACAAATTCAAATCCCAATATCCAAAGATTAACTGAAAATAAATCAAACAAGCAAGATGTAGAGCATCTATAATTCCCAAATCGATACCAAATGTCTAGAGAAAAATTAACTTAAAATAGTCTAGCACAAATAAAGAAAAATGTTAAATATCTAAAACAAAGAGGTTTTTAATGCATGTGAATATATAATAAAGGAATTACGGTGTTGTTTTTACCTTGAAATTTAGGATTTTTTTAGCATTTCTGTTGTTCAAGACTTGAAATTTTGAAAAATATATTTGCTTCAATATGGGAACAACGATCCTAGCAGTGGAAAAAAGCGGCAAATGCCCCCAGTAGCAAGACTCTGTTCTTCTTTTCAACCGAGTTTTGTTATATAAAAAAATCCAGTTTCTACATAAGAAGTCTTTGATTAAATGGTATATATCTTCTTCTTTTTTATTTTTTTGGCTCCGTCAACTACACTAGGTTAATTGCTCCTGCATCAAGTTTGCAGCCATTAAGAACAATTGAGGAGCCATGGCTAGGATTTTAGGATGCAGCCAGCATCCAGATAATTCTGATAAGAAGGTAATTCTGCACGGCCTCCCCCTCTTAAAACTACGATGATATGACTTCTTCATCTTTTATCTTCTCACTCGCTTTGCAGTTATATCATACTGTTATTGTCGGAATGCATGCAGAAGAATGTGAAACAATCACTGGAAGGAATCAAACAGGATTTACCAAGTTGAACTAAATCGGAGATAGATTTGATTATCCAACATCAGAATAATAACCATGCAAGAGATCGACTTCTTTATGATGGAAAAAGTGATCGCTTGTAAAGCTTTGTTCAGAAATCTGTTTACTGATTAACTGATATCATACAAGAGATGATTAACAAACTGACCTGCAAACCAACGAGTTGAATTATTCGCTGTCCACATATTCGGAGAGTAAAGGCTTATTTGACAAGAAAGCTTCCAAATTCCCCACCACAAGTTGGCTTAAATCCTTCAAAGATTCAGGTGTAAAAACAGCCCTATGCGGTGACAACACAACATTATCCATGGCGAAAAACTCTTTAGGAACATTAGGCTCATTCTCAAACACATCCAAGCCAGCACCTGCAATCTCCCCTTGCATCAGACACCTCACCATTTCCTTCTCATCGATGATAGCCCCACGTCCAATGTTTACAATGACTCCTTCCTTCCCCAGTGCTGACAACACTTGTTTATTGATCATGTGGCGGGTTTCGTCACTTAATCCACAGCAAATGATGAGAGCATCGCAATTAGCTGCAAGCTCACAGACATCGTGGTAGAATGGATACGAAACATACGGTTTTTTCTTCCTGGAGTTGTACGAAACAAGACAACCAAAGGCCTCGAGCCTTTTAGCAACTTCATATCCAATATTTCCCAATCCAACAATTCCAGCTCGCTTACCACTGAGCTGAAATTACCAAACACAAAGAATACATATAATCAGACACAATTATTTAGTTCAATCAAACGATAACTTGCTAATGTTGAACCTTTCTAGGGTTCCATTTTTATCACCATTTTGTTTCGTTATGCGGAAAGGCGCAAAAGGATCAAGATAGCCAACCGCAGCTAGTTTGATATTGAGGATCTGCTGCTGCTGCTGGTGTTTTGTTTCATTGGCAAGAAATGGAATGGCGATGCAGTAAACCAAATCAACACGTGTTTTCAGAGCATTTTCATTTCAAGAATTAGACATAATTAATTAAATAAACCAAAAGTACTCACTTAGAATCTAGTGTTGCTTCCAATTATCATTCTTTTAAGTCATTAAGAACTAACAGTGACCCATATAAAGAGAAGATTCACGGATCAAAACCTTAGAACCAGGAGGATAGTTCCCTTTAGCAGCCCAAAGCCCTTGCCTCACATAACGATCACTAGCCGAAACCTTTCTCAGAACATCAATCAACAAACCAACAGCCAAATCAGCCACATCAGCAGAATACACGTAGCCTGCATTAGCAATTTTGATACCACGGCGGCGACACTCGGGGATGTCAATCTGATTAAGACCAGCACTAGTGGTGACAACAACACCAACCTCCGGAAGCAGCTGGAGGATGTCAGCGTTGACGGGTGCAGCACCGGAGGAAAGGATTGCTTTTATGGAATGAGAATGAGTGGACAAGAACTGATCTAGAGGGAGTTGGGAGTCGTAGGTTTTCAAAAAGTGAAATTTGTTGGATGCAAAGGATTCTTCGCCAATGAGTGAAAAGGCCGGAGGTGGTCTGAAGAGCACTACTTTTGGGAGATCTTTTTGCTCTTCTTCTTGGGTTCTGTCAGAGCCTGTATTATTGACTCCCATTTTTTAGTGTTGGTTTGGAAACGACAACAGAAGCTAGGAAGGAGGGGTCTGTTCCAGATTAGGCACTGTACTATACATTTATGGCTGCCCTTGTTTTTAGCACTTCCTTACCGGCTTACCGGGTAAGACTCGAAAGTACCGTGTGGTTCTTTACTCTCATCCTTTTTTAGCCTGAAATATAAATGCATTATTTATATTTTTTATTTAAAAAATATATTAAAATAATTTTTTTTTTAATTTTTAAAATTAAAACATGATTTAAAATTATAAAAAAGTATTAATTTAAAATAAAAAAATTAAATTTATTTATAAACATTTTTAAAAGGAAAAAATAAAAACACTCATAATTTAATCATTTTGTAGTCACCGTATGATACTTTAATATTCAATAATTTGGGTAAATAACATTTTTAAAAGGAAAAAATAAAAACAGTAAGAATCTAATCATTTTGTAGTCACCGTCTGATACTTTAATATTCAATAATTTGGGCAAATTAGGACTTGATTTAGCGGTGGAAAAGGCTTGTCTCCTTCCACTGCATCTGGGTTCGAGTCCTAACGTGCGCGCTTGTCACCCCCACGGTGCCTTACATGCTTACTGGATTTGCAGGATATTCAGTGGACCGTGAAGATTAGTCGTGATGCACGCAAGCTGGCCCAGAAAAAATATTCAATAATTTGAGCGTCAAAACTATTCATTAGTTTTCATGATTCAATCGCATGAACGTATGATACACGAATAAAGAATTAACATTAAAAAAAATTATTTTTAACGGAAAAAATCATCGTTAATTCTAAAGTCCGAGCATTCCTGGAATACTCTGTGAAAGCCCCCAACAGTGAAAAAGCTTCACATAAAGCAACCTGGGAGGAAGAAGCCTACGAAACAACGAAAGATACTCTCCTAAAGTTATGTTACCTACTCCAATTCCAGCTTTCCGGTCGGCTGTCAAAACCTGAACTTGGGATTTTTTGAATTCTGAAAACTAAAAGTTCTGTACCAAAGACAAGAATACAAATATATATAGATATACATATAACACAAATATATACATATAATACAAATATATATATACAATTACACACACACACACATAAACCATAATACGAAAGCACAAGGCATAGATGGAAATGAGGATGACGTTAGAAAAGCGACTTTACACGACAGGTATAACTTGTCCATAAATACATCTATCATGCTTTTCCAAGCACAGGCCAGCAAGTCAACTGGGAATATAGGGTTCAAAGAGCGTTGCACAGGGATTTGGATCGTATTGCAAGATATCCGCTGCACGTTCAAATTCTTCTCTCAGAACTTTTATGCTGAATTTATCCACGACTCTACCAAGGTCATGAGATATCTCAAAGGGGTCCTCTATGCATATCAAATGGCGATCATTCCCAATCCTCCTTGTCCATTCCTTTTCGTGTTTGCTGTAGAAAGATAATCACAGTATTACAGTCAGTCAAACGCTGCATAACATCTCAAGCTGACTATAAAGTATAAGCAGAAAGAAAACCTTTTGAGCCCTCGAAAACAATTTAAATAAAAATAAAGTTTGTGATAATGTCTGAAAAATAATCATAAGGCGTATATTTGTCAATCAAGTCTCGTAATTAGGCAGATAAAAACCTTATGAAAGGACACTGGAAAGCACATATCACCTGAGTATGCTTCCTATACGAACAGATATAACAGCATTTGTATAATCATGACTATATGCCCAATAATTGAAAAATGCCCATACTAATCCAGCAATTGTTTCCTTGTTTCGAGATCCAAAACCACGGAGTTTTTCAACTTGATGAAAGTAAGCACATTGAATGTCATCTACAGTGACAGAGTATGTCGTTCTCATCTCCTGAAAGAGAGCACCTCACAATAAAGACATTTACAGCAAAGACTAAGATAACAAGCAACAAATTTCACTTGGAAATGCTTTGTTCACGTAGAAGATTTTGAAGCTGAATAATGCTATTGTCCAAAATATTTGCCCCAAAATGAGTTTACCAGAAAATTATAACCACTTCATGTTCATCAACAAACTGATTCAGTGTTCTTATTTCAGGAAGAATACATTACTTCTCGAAGCATGATCAGATACAAGAATATGGCAAGAGTTCACTTCATAAACCAAAGCAGAGGATGATACTCAATATCCTCTTGGATGCTCCCTCCAGAATAATGCCAGGTACCATATAAAGCTGAAAAGACAACATTTTGGCAACACAACAGAGAGCACCATCCTATGAAGTAATCACTAACTAAAATTGAAATCCTGAGCAAATAACCAGCAAAAGGTTCAGATTTCCTACGCGATTAATTTTGGGTCATTCATCTGTTCAACTGAAGTAAAATATAATAAGGTGAAAGAAATCAAAAGAACATCCAATTCCCTTAACCTTCAGGAATAATCACATCAAAGAATGATATGAGCACATACTGAAATGTCAAAATAACTGAAATGCTAAAAAAGACCCAACCTAGAATTCCTAAATAAACAAGCAGAATAGAAATGCAGACCTGTAAGCATGGAAGGATAGCAGGTCTACGCTGCTGTAAAAAATGAATGCACATTAAAACATACCTGAAAAGAAAGAAATATCAGGCAACAAAAACTCAATAAGCGAACATAGATGTCTTTAGATCATATAGGCGCATGAAAAGTTCAGGAAAATATGATAATTCTTAATGATGACTCACGCATAACTAGATAGGGTCCCTTGGTAAGTTGCATTGACTCCTCTTGACTTGGCCCAGTGTTTCACTATAAAAGCTAATTGCCGTAATCTGACATCTATTTGTGCATAATCCCGAAGAAGCTTTGTATTCACAACAGCCAAAACATTGTTTATGCATATGTCACAGGAGATGCCAGTCACCGGATCCATAAGCTTTACTATGGGAACCCTGGCCCGAGTCAATGCCTGCAAAGTAATGGGATTATGGACTCAAAAATAAAACAAGCAAGAGTCACAAGACATCCAAACAGTACAGAAATTCTTAAGGAGAATAAACCAGGATCAATTAGTGTGGAAAATAAGACATCATATTAAGAAAGAAATGGATAGTGATCAAGTTCCAATTGGATTGACAAGGTATATAAGGATCCAATGTTGTCTTAAATATCTCAAAGTTATTTTCTGAGAGCACGCTCTCACTTTATATCTCACAAAGGATTCTACCTTATTTTTTCAGAGCACGTTCTTACTTTTAACCTCATTGATTATCCAAACAAGATAATTATTTCTTTGAGGAACCTCTAGATTATATATAGTTGAAAAAAGATGGTTAAGCGAATGAACTGCACAAAGTCAATAGAAATTGCAATGATCATCTTAGAGTCATCCAAACACTTGCAAACAAAATTTAATATAAAAATTGCAGAAACATAAACTCACGATGAAGATGTAATGGCACATAATAGTTCCATGACCTCATATCACTAGGCTTACAAAATAATAACTCATTAATACCTTGACACTGTTACTAAAAATGAGAGAAAAAATACATATTCACTCCCTACAGAATACTGAAAAATAAGGGCCCAAATGGGAATAGGGAAAAAAAAGCATGGAGAACACAGAACACTGAGAAAAAATATTGTACAGGTTAATTCGTTCACCGAATTGACCTGCCAAAAAAACACAAAATGAAGATGCATCCTGAATGTGAGTAACAGGAATAAGAGCGTTAATAGGCCCACATGCGTGAATGTGTGTCAGTGCACACACAACTGTAGTCATAACATGGTTCTAAAACAAAATTACCAAAGCGGCAATTTGTAGATCATGGCTATTACCATCTTATCAAATGATTTTCATTTCATTACCTAACTGCAACAAGAGAAAATCCCTCTGAAGATGTCTAATAGAACAGGCAACCAAGCAATGAAATGAAAAATATCAAAATAATTGGTAACATGTTATATTTATTACTAAGGTTTACTTCTCAAGCACTTTAATGTAGGCAGCATATCAGCTTATAGTTCATAGATCACCTAAATTGGCTAGTTGCAGAGTATTGTAAGCAGCAACATGATCTTTAGCAGAATTAGTTAGCCTTTCATCATGGAGTTGCCATGGTAATCTATTTATGCTATTACATCACATGCAACAAAATGCAATACCACACAACTCTTTCGTTTTAAAGGCATAAATACAACGCAAACAGCTTGTCAAACCCAAAAATGGTGGCCAGTGACCAAACCACACAATTCAAGATAGTTTAAAAATAATCATCTGTGTTACATATCTTTTAATTGTCCGTATTACATGTCCCTAATATAATGGGGGATGTTACATGTGACAAGGAGTTGTTATTGATCTATTTGACAGGTTTGGACAAATGGAAAGACATCAAGACATTATGGTAGTAAGCTTTCTTTGCAGCTTTTTTTCCTTTTTGGTTACAAGTGATGAGGAGTTGTTATTGATCTATTTGACGGGTTTGGACAAATGGAAAGACATCAAGACATTATGGTAGTAAGCTTTCTTTGCAGCTTTTTTTCCTTTTTGGTTACAAGTGATGAGGAGTTGTTATTGATCTATTTGACGGGTTTGGACAAATGGAAAGACATCAAGACATTATGGTAGTAAGCTTTCTTTGCAGCTTTTTTTCCTTTTTGGTAGTTGTTGATGGAGTAGAACTACAACTTTTTTGAGAATGGAGCATTTCAAAAACAATTCTTGTGGGCACTGCCACCCCTATGCTGTTCCACTATGGGGAGCTCTCCGGGGGTTTCTTTGTTGGACACTCAAATTTCAAAGTGATGAGATGGCTCAGGGCTCTCAAATTCCAATTGTCCTAGTGTGTGGGTTTTTCATTTGAAAGATGTCTTTTTCTCTATTGGTACAATCCATTTCCTTCATCAATAAAGTTTTCTTTAACTAAAATCACTCTTTAACATTCAATCCTAAGGATGAACGTTGGAAATCTGTTTATCGTATCAAACATAATCCACAAACACAAAAGGTGTAACCCCAAGCATCTGCAACATTTAGCATATTTAATCTGCATGCTCTGCAATTTACACGTTCAATATGGCAATAAAGTTTAGAAGACTAGGTTGCATGTGCATGCATGTGTTTTTATATAGTCCACAGGATTTGGGGAAAATGATATTTGAACTCATTATCAGGTAGGAAAAATCATATTCTTATCTTCCAGAGTCATTCTACCTTAGAAACTATCAATGGCAATTCATGAATTTGGGCACTGCATTTAGAAGACTAGTTAATAGAAGGTACACACGCCAAGAAACTAAATCCTAACATTCAGCTAAAAGAATTAACGTGTATAAAATTAAATTATAAAAGAAAATAACAGGGTCAACCCTTGAGAATTATAGAACTTCATCAGAATGCCTGGAAGCAAATTTTAAATGTCTACTCAATTGGGGAGCTCTAGCAGAAGTCATTTTCTTTTACCCAGAAAACATTCTAGGAGTTTGAAGAAAACCAAAACAGTTAAATGGCATTTATTGCATTATCTCTGAATTTATTGATCCTCTAAAAAGTCAGCAATCTCATTTACCTGCACATTCTGGAGGTTATCTGACTGCAATATATCAGCCAACTTTAACAAGACCTCAGGCTTATTAACCTCAGCATCCTCAATTGCGAGGCAAACATCTATATCACTCTTTGAAACTCCAAATGAATTTGCACATGAACCATATAGGTATAATCGAGCTTGAGGCCATTCCTTGTTGATCAGTTTCTCCAATGACATCAAAAATAGCTCCTGCTTCATTTTTTCTTCCTCTGGCGGTATCAATGACTCGTAAATTGCAAGAAAAGCAGCATTTAGTCTGTCGATATCTAAACAACATTGCATTTGCTTTTTAAGCATTCTCATCCTCTGACTAAGTATATTTTTCCCCCTGTTATCTGATCTAGACTCCTGATCATCAAAACCGCAAGAAAATCCAATAGATTCACGATTAGAGAAGGAATTAGAAACAGCTACTAAGCAATCATTATATTTTCTTACACTAACTTCATTTCCGTTTTCATTAAGAACGTCTACTGAGAATGTCGATCAAGGTATATAATTTAGTTAACTAATGGAAGATTAATATAGTTACAGTAGCGCCCTCATATTTATATTGAACTCCTAGTTACTTCAAGTTTCAACTCCTAGAACATCAAATACAATTAAAAGATTCACATAAAGTAACTGAATTTAAAACTCGATGCCCAGATAGAAAAGAAAACAACAGACCTTGCTACTTTCCTTCTTGTCTTTCTTGCCTTCAGGCTGACCATCAAGCAACAAAGAATCCACCAGCTCTTCACCAAGATCATCCAATTCTCCTCCATCATCCTTTCCATCTTCACCATTTTCACCATCCGGATTGATCAAGGATTCCCCAATCTCCGAACACAAAACGGAATGCAGATTACTCCCGGCAGGTGGACCTGGACGATCAAGCTGTCTCGTAAGCCCCAGCTCAACTGACCCCTCACTTCTCCTCACTTTCTCATTGTTCATTTTACTAAAATCTCCCTTTTCCCTGGTAATATTAAGTTCCAATTCTCTCCTCCTGCTTCCGTAATCCCAATTCTCTCCATCTCCTCCACCTCTAGGCTTATTGGAGAACCCCGGAGACGGAGACCTATAATTCCGGTGCTGTTCCTGGTGTAGGTGTTGGTTTCGGTGCTGGTTTCCCCATCCTCCACTGCTGCCTCCTGGCTGTCGCACTTCAGAATTTCTCCTCGAATTCGAGTTTGCTTGCTTCTCGAGATGCCTATTCCTTTCCAATTCATTGAAGCTTCTGCCCCCTGATCCTACTTCTCGCACCAAATTCGCATTCACTAAAACCTCAGCAGGGCTTTGAATCTCACTCGAAAACGAGCCGAACTGTAGCTTTTGCTCAAACTGTTGCTTCTGTTGAAGTAGATGCTGGATCGAATTGTCATTATTATTATTATTATTATTATTATTAGCTCTAGTCTCCACATTTGAAAACCCTAATCTTTGCAAATCCTCTGCTAAATATTGATTTCGACGGGGGTGAGGAAAAGCATTGTTTTTCTGCGGAAAGCCCAGATTATGGGGCCAAAGAGGAGGAGAATTGGGGAGAACATCACGGCCGTTGGGATTCAACACTTGACTAGACGGTGCAGGTAGACTGGGGCCAACAGCTGCGACTGCAGGATTATGTTGATTGTGATTGTGATTTTGTAATTGTGGGGTCATAAAAGGAGACTGAGATTGCTGCTGCTGTTGCTGCGATGGTGTTGGGTGGTGGTTAGGTCTTCGGAGTAAAGAGAGTATAAATTCGCCGCCATTATTGGCGGGCGGGATAGATGGAGCATCACCGCCGCCACCGGACATTGTATTGTATTCGTAGACTCGAAGGTTTCTACACTGAAAAGAGTGGAAGACAGACAGTGATTTTTATTTTTATTTTTTTCCTCACTCGCTAGAATCGAATGAGTTGTGCTGCCATGGTTGGTGAGGATTGGGTTTATATACTTGCATGTGTAAAAGCAAATCTATTGAATCGAATTGATTTGATGGGATCACAATTTACTGGTGTTAATTGAACGGCGTTGATTGGAGTTGTGTAGTAGCTTGGTGAGTGCGAGGAAGGAGAGTGAGGGGAAGTGACTGTGAGTCATCTAGCCTGACGTGGATCTAGCTTATCAGGGAAGTTGTTGGGAAAACGAAAAGGTGTTTCAACGTTAAAACATCCAAAGCATATTAAAAGAAGCTAAATAAATCTAATATTATGCACCGCTATTTCTCTGTCCAGTAAATTTAATACTGGTTCTTAAGAGCATGGTAGCCTCTTTACGGAGCTTTCTTAAGAGCATGGTAGCCTCTTTACGGGGCTTATTAATTATTATTATTATTTAATTAATTAAAAATAAATAAATCCTTTTCTATTTAAATTATACAATTAAATAACGAGAATATCGTTAAAAGAAAAAATTAAAATGAACGTCAAAGGCTATTTTATATTTGCATAGTAGCTTTCGTTTTATTATAATATAGAGCAGGAGATAATTTAATATTAGATTGAATATAAAATTTAATAAATAATTAAAAAGTACAGTTAAATGATTAAAATATTATTAAAAATAAATAAAAAACTTTAAATTAGTTTTAAAGGGTTTTTTTTCTTTTTATAATAATTTTTTGTTATTACCATTTCAGTATATATATATATATATATATATCAAGAGACACATGGGAGGTACCTATTTAATTTTTGTGGAGAGTATGGAAGTTCTCGAATTTCAAAATTATTTTTTTATTTTATTATTAAAACGTTGCATTGTGTTTTTTTATATAAAGCATCATGTGTCGGTACTAGTGAAATGATTCGGCATTGGTTATTTTTATTTTAAAAAAAAATATTATAGTTTAACTTTTTTTTGTAGTGATATTTTAATTTTAAAAAAAAAATATTATAGTTTAACTTTTTTTGTAGTGATATTTTAATTTTATTTTTATTTTTTTTATTTTTTATTTTTTATTTTTATTTTTGATTATTTTATAAAAGTTTTATTTGTTTTAAATTTCATTATTCAATTTTAATTTATTAAATATTATAAGTTTTATTTGTTTTAAATTTCATTATTAAATTGTAATTTATTAAATATTATATTTTTTTAATTTAATTTTTATTTTTTATTTTTTATTTTTATTTTTTATTTTTAATCTAAATTAATAATACTGGACATTAAAAAAACCAATTAACCGATTAAACTATAAAAATTATAAAAACAAATAATAAAAAATACTAAATTAAAAAAAAATCAATTAAATCTATTTAAAAATTATATCACTGATTTAGTTTTGATTAATTTTGATTTCAAAAATTAAAACCAATTGAAAGTATCGTTTAACTAAATTTAAACTGCCTACAAATAATCTTTCTTTTTTCTTTCCTTCATGACTATCCATTCTTCTTTATTTTATGGGAAACAAGGATCGAATTTTAAATTAATTGAAAAATATTCAATCTTAGAATGATAATTTTTCTCTCAAGAGTGTAGAAACAATAAAATAACTTGTATTGTATCTTTTTCTCAAAAATATTTCAAAAATTACATCAGTTTTTTTAATTTAAATACATAAAAATGATTAAATTGAAATATAAAAATTCTATCACCATCGTAGTTTACATAAATTCTCACAATAATGATGCCTCTTAAATGCTATCAAGAATTATTTAAATGGCACTTTCTGTGTTTTATTTAAATTACTTTTTCTTATTTATTATTGAAATTTTCATTTTCTTTTTTTAAGGAGAGTATTCCAATAACCATGATATCCACAATTCTTCTACACTTATTGTCTTCATCGTAGAAAAGAAAAGGTTATTTTCCTTTTAAATTCTTCTAACCTAATAAAGAAAATTAAGAAAGTGGAGGAGAAGTAGAGAAATTTCCAAGTCGGTTCTTTCCTTCATTGTTGTCGGCTGGAACTTCAAGAAGAAGGGAAGATATCTTTTTATTTAATGTACGACAATGTCTTTGATTAAAGCCCCACATGTTGTTTTCATCGAATCCCCAGTAATCAGTATTTCTTTTTGTATATTTATTTATTTATTTTTATTTTATTCTAGATTTTAAACTAATTGATTAATGATTTTCATTTTTAGTCATAAAAAATTTCTCTTAATTTATTATTTTTCCAGTTAAAAATTACATCATTTAATTTAAAATTTATATATATTCTGTGAGATTTATGAAATGATTTAAAAATCATATATGCCATTTTCTTTTATTTTTGTACTATATATATGGTCCTTTACTTTCTTTCAATCGATTTTGAGTGATTTTTATTGTATAATATTTGTATATTTATTCTTATTTTTATAATTATTTTTAAATTTATTAAAAAATTATTCTTTAAATTTTTTATTATCATTAATATAAATATTCAGGTCTAACTTACACATATTTCAATTAATTATATAACTTTTTAAAATTATAATTATATAAATTTTTAATAGTCCTGAAAAAACTTAAATTTATAATTATTGAAGCTTAACAAATTTAAAACTTGATTAATTGAGCTATCTTTAAATTAAATAATTTTCTAATTTTGATATTCCATAGTTTTGAGTATTTTCATTAATATGATAAAATTGACATTATAAAATATTTAAGACAATTGAGCGATAATTGTGAGTTTTGTTCGAGGTTTTAAATTAGAATGTATGATTTTTTACTAGAGATCTGAAGGCTTTCATTCCCTGACAGTTATTGCAAAGACTGAAGGCTTTTGAATCAATTGGTTATCATGAACCAAAAAAATATAAGAAATAGCTGTCATCTAAAAAAGTTATAATTATAATTTTGCCACCGCTACAATATCTCTATAGTAAAAACAAATTAGCAAAATTTGCAATTATATTATTTTTTATAAAACAATAAAAATAATTAAAAATAATAATATAAATATGTAAAATGTAGAGGGATAAATATTCAGAATGTAAAAAATAGAAAAATAATATTTAAAAAATAGAAAAAATAAAAAAATAAAAAACTAAAAACATATTACAAAAAACATAAAGATAAAAAAATGGTGATAAATAAAAAAAGTATAAAATGATAAAATACCAAGTATAAGGAAAAAAATAAAAAATACTTGTTTTCTATAAAAAATATATATATAGTTGTACCACCATTATATTACAATAACTCTCAAAATTTATAATTATATCATTCATACATGAAAACTTCAATATATATGTATAATAATTTTGTGCATATAATTATTGTTGTTTATAATTAGATTGTTGTAGCCCGAGAAAATAAAAAAAAGGCATACATAGCTTGTTTTTTATTTGATTTTGTATTTGTAATTATGTTTATGTGTGTTTTAAAAGTATGTTTTTTTATTTTTAAAAATATTAAATTAAAATTATTTTTTTAGTGTTTTTCTATAGTTTTATTATGCTGATGTAAAAAAAATTATTTTAATATATTTTAAAATAAAAAATACTTTTCAAAACACTATACACCACAATATTTACTATATTAAAATCTAATTAAATTATATATAAAGAAGAAAATTTTTCCACCTTTTATGATGGATCATCTTCTTTGTGCTCTTTTATCCAAGAACCTTTTTAAGCAAATGAATTTCATTACAAAATACGTTTGTCCATGGCCTGTTCAGAAGTAAGTCACAATACTAAACATCCTGCAGCAGTCTGAATTGCTTATTACAATCCAAAACTCAAAAACAATATTAAAATATTTATTGGTATATTAAATAATGAAAAAAAGAACATTTTTCATTCATGTTTTTTGCTGATCACTGAACTTTGTATAGCTCGATTATTTGCAAGATATAGGAAATAGCATTTGCATAAAGAAACTCAAGAATGAATAAAACCTTTAGCAATTTCATCGAGGATGGCAGCTCGTTGGGGGTCCACGATGTCTATCCTGTGAAACCCAGAATCATCAAAACAAGCTTCAACTTTCACCCCATGAAGTACCAGCATTTGCACAAAGTCTTGTTGCCGATCTACCAATGGGTCCCTTCCAAAACCAAAGACTAAGCATCGCTGCAATGAACTAAGCTTGCTCTTATGAGGTCCATCCACCATTGGGTTGCAAAATGGGTGATCACGGTCCGCCCCTTCTGGCAATGCCAACTCCCACATAAGGTCCATTGCTGGTAATGATGCCACATGATCAGCTATAAATTTCATCTCAGATTTTGTTCTTTTTCGCCCACCAAACAATGGTTGATTCAAAATAATACCATCAATCTTTAAAGGGCTCAAATCCATGTCTAAAGAGCGCAAGGCAGCGTTAAACGCAATGTTGCCTCCGCAACCAGACCCATGAAGGTAACACCTAGAAAAATCTCCGTAGTCTTTAAGCCATTTCTCACCTTGTGGATCCAGAGCCTGTTTTTGAAGCCAAAGAAGTGCATCAGTCGCATCTTCATATGGTGCTGGAAGTCGATTCTCAGGCGCGAGACGGTAGTCAACAAGGATGACTATAGCTGGGATTGTGAATGCAAACAAACTCCGGCTTGCATGTAGAATAGTGCTGTTAGCACGAAATTGGACCCAGGAACAACCGTGGAAGTGAAATACTATAGGCAAAAGCCTTTTCTCGTTCACCGTGGCGGCGGCGGCGGCGTGTTTAGTGATGATATTGGAGGGTAGGTAAATACGAACTGCAGTGTTCTTTTCCTCGCTGAGAATGGCATCTTTAGAGAATACGGCTTCACCAGAGTTCAGGTCAGGGTTTACGTTTGCAGGTGGCAAATTGAGGAGCCGAGTGACAGTGCCATCAGGATCGATCCTGATGTTAAGGTACTCATAGGGATCGAGTTCGGGCATGATATGGTATCTAGAACTACTGTGAATTAGGAAGGGAGGGAGTTCGTTCACAATTACTTTGAACCTTTGTGGAGAAATCTGGTTGCCCTTAATATTGCCATGAATCATGGATCATGTTGCTATTTTAAACAACAGATCATTAGGTGGATAAAATTTCTGGGGAGAAAATCATGTTTCACCACCAAAAAAAACTTGCATGCCTCAGAGATATATTTGTTACCACGAAATTCCAATTGAAGCGTTTTAGTAGATGCGATCTTCTCTATTTTAGAAATGCACAGCATCCACTCAAATTATTCTTTTAATATAAAAAAATTTAAAAATACTGTTAATATATTTTCTAGCAGAAAAAAATTTAAATTTAAAATTTATAGTATATTTGATTACATTCTTTTTAAATAATAAGATGGTAATATATTGAATGATATTTTTTTATAACTACAAAAAATTTCTGTAGCCCACTCATTTTTTTATTTTTTATTTTTTAAAAAATTACATTTTATATTTTAGAGTTTATAAGTTTATAATAACTTACATTTTAAAGTTGATACATAAAAAATAAATCAATAAAAAATATTAAATTATTTTTATAATTATTATTATATTTTATTTAACAGTTGAAATATTTTTATAATATATTTTTTTATTAATATGAATATAAATAAAAAAATATTTTTTATTTAAAAATATATTAAAATCATGTTTTTTATTTTTTTAAAATTATTTTTAATAATAAAATTTTATAATAATTTTAAACATTAACAAATATTAATTTTAAATATAAAAGATAAAAAAAATCATTTTTTTTCTTAAAAAACTTTTAAAATTCAAAAACCTACATTACCTGAATGTACTTATCACCTGCAGAAGTAAATAAGCCCATCTGGACAGCAAATTCTAGTTCATTACTTTCTCTGTTGTCTTTTCATCCTCTGATTTAATGTTACTGACTATTTCCCGAGACTCAAAATTGACTAATTGGGCTCAAGAGGTTGCAAGACATTTTCTTGGAAGAGGGATTTTCAAGAATATCCATCAGCTCTAACTTTATTAATGTTATTTTCTATGCACCAATCTATTACTTCCATATCCAAATCCGCTCCACGGCAGTCCATCTTCCATGCATCAAATTTGATTATTGTGTTTAATTTGAAAACTTAGATTGAACTGGGATATAAAAAATAATTATGAAAAGAATGGGTGCAAAGTGAATAAATGAGTGGTTTATAAGAGGTTTTTTATAATTAATTTTTTAAAAAATATTGATAACATGACATATTGAGTTGTTTTGAAGTAACTCATGATAAAATTCATGATTCAAATTATAAAATAATAATAACTTTATAAAAATAAATTATGAAATTTAACTTTTAATTTATTAAATATTAAAAGGGAAAACTAAAAAAAATTAGTTAAAAAACAAAAAAAAATAATTTGACTTTGCCCTGATAAACCTGTCAGACCTGTACCTTAATCAAGAGAATGTTATTTAACCTAAAAAAAAAAAATTAAAAAAAATGTCACCTTCAATTCTCAACTAACCTACTATTGAAGAATAATTTTTTTAAAAAATAATTAATAAACCTGAGTTAATTTAGAGTAATCTATTAAACTTATAACCTGAGTTGTGAGACTAAGATAATTTTATAAAAAATAAATTTAAAAAATTATAAATTTCAATTATCGGCCAATGAATGATGAAATAAAAAAATAGTATGAGTTAACTCAAGTTATTTTTTTAAACTCACAACATGAATTTTAAGATAAGGATTAAATTAAATAAAATATACTAAAAAATTACAAAAAGTAATTCTCACAAATCTTAATATTAAAGGTTAAAATTAAAAATTAAATAAGAAAAATTAATAATAAGAAATAAGAATAAAATTCAGTATAAAAAATAACAGCACATTCTACTATTTTTAACGAAGTAAGGTGTAATTGTTTTTTGCATTCATTCATTCATTTTTTCTCTTTATCTTCACTTTTTCTATGAATTTGTGTCAATTTATTTTTTAATAATGTAAAGCTATTTCCACTAGCAAAATTCTCACAATTCTCACAAGCAACACTAATTAAATTTTAAATTGTGTTATTTTATCAAAGATGATTTAAACTTATTATTTTATCAATTTGTTTTCTTTAAAATTGTGCTAATCTTCCAAAAAAAAAAGAACTATTGTGAGAAAATTGAACCATAGTCTCTACGCTGTCATTTTCAGTTTTTATTTTTAGCTAGACAGCTTAAATCCATCCCTCAAATCTCGAAATAATCATTTTAAGTTTTAAAATGTATTTTAATCTACTAAAAAAACACAACCATAAATCCAAAAAAAACTCAGAAGTTGTTATCAAACTTCAGGTACATCTATTTATGTTGAAGAAAACATGATTGAGGTTATTTTTTAAATTATTTTTTATATTAAAATAATTTTTTTTATTTAAAAAAAAATATTTGTAAAATAAATGCATCAAAATATTTAAAAAAATATATAAAAAAATAAATTTTTTAAAAATATAGGTTAACCCATATTCTCGAAGACTCCCTTAAACGGTATTCATGGGCATAGATCAATAAGACTCGTTGAAATGGAGGTGATTGTAAGATTTTCAATTAGAATAAACCAAATGAGAAAACAACGAAAAGGACACATCCACGTGATTTCACTATTCAAAGCACCATCTTGTTTAAGTATTTTTTGTTAACTGTTAATGTCAAAAGCCCATCGGAGAGCAAAAGGAGCCATTTCTCTGGAGTTTAAGCTTACACCGACCTTGTTCATGATGAACAATCGATGAGAATGTTACAGGAATTGGGACCCCAGATGATGATCTTCATGCACCTTAATGGCACTGCAGGCTCTTAAAAATATCAACAAAGCCATCTGCGTGCGTGTTTGTTGAGTGTCAGCGGAAGACAAATAAATAAATACAAATCAAATTGTGACTGGCGGAGTGCCTAAGCATAATAGCATCTCCAATGTAGATGCTAGATATAGAAAGTTATATATATATATATATATATATAACTATGTTGCCTTTTCAACATGGATGCTAAACATAATGCTATTTTAATATTTTTCTTATAAAAATATTAAATAAACTTTTAGCTCTTTTCATCCATATGTAGGCATATCTCTCTAGTTTATAAATGTTATTTTAGCTCTTATATAACTCCTCCTTGTAGCTATAAAAATGGATGATGAAAGCCAATTTTTTTATTTTTTTTTAAGGATGTTTGGGAACATGATAGTGGTTATTTTTGAAAGTATTTTTTTATTTTAAAATATATTAAAAAATATTTTTTAAAAAAATATTTTTGGCAATAACACATAAAAATATATAAAAAAATAAAAAATATATTAATTTAAAACAAAAAATATAATCTTTTTCAAAACGATTTCCAACCACAATACCAAACACTATCCTTTTAGAGATGCCATTGTCAAAAATGTATAAACACTATTAAATGTAACAATGTTTTTTTTTAGTTTTTTTTTTCAGTTTAATTTTTATGAGATTATTTTAATCTTGTAACCTGTACCATGGGTTTAGTTAATTCACTCAGGTTGATTTGGGTTATTTTTTTATTTATTTTTTTGATTTGTTTTTAAATTTTATCATTTAATATTAAATTAATTGAGAATTATCCGAGTTATTTTTAGGCTTGTTAAGCCAACCGAATTATATTAAATTGTTAAAATAATTGCATGTTGAATATATTAAAATATAATATGCTCTTTTAAATATTTTTTTACCAATAAAATACATATAAATAAAAAAATAGTTATAATATTTAAAAAATCGGATTACCAATTTAACTCTTTTAAAATGAAGAAACCCGTGCAAAATACTACTTTGTCTAGTTGTCTAACATGTCAAAGGATAGTCAGAACATGTTTGTCCATACAAACAAATGGAATTTTATTTGAGAAATATTTACGGCATCCAGTCGAAGAGTTGGAGATTGTTTCACATTGTTTTTTTTACTTGTATTATTTGAGTATATTTTAAAAATATATTCAAATTGATTCTTTTTTAATATTTTTTAATAATTCTGATAAGGTAATATGAAAAATTAAAAAAATACATATATTTTACTTTCAATTCATCACAATACCCCACACACGGTGCAATAGTTGAGGTGGCATCATTGCCGCTGGATTCTCAGCTCTCAACCATTTAGGGCCACGTCGTGTCATCTGATTGGTGACCATGTAACTGAAGCCTCTGAGCTTCCAGCCAACTAAATACCACTAGGAGTACTCCGGTTGGTTGTGTACGAAAGGATTGTAGCTAGATAGAGGCTGCGGTAGACAGCGCCGCATCTAAAAGCACGATTTTACGTGTACTCCACCGTGCAACTCACTATAAAACAAATATTTTGAAAATAATTATCACAATAACAAATCTGCTAAAAAGTTTCATGGTTAATTAAACTATTAATCATTATACGTCTTTTTTTTTAATATTATAAGCGTGTACTTGTTGTTGTCAACGTGCTGATACTGCAGAGATTTTGAAGAAATCAACGTGAAATCGACTCAAAAAGGCAGGCTACCGTAGACGCAACATTAAATCCCGAGGAATTAGGCTGTGGAATCACATTTAAGTGAGAGAGAAGCATCAGAAGATTACACTAAGAAGGCACCGGAACTGGGAATTTATAGATTGCAAGATACTTGAGATAATTTGAGAATTAACAAGTCATTCGGCTTCCATCACGCATCTGCAATTCCCACCGAAAGTGAAATACATGCTTTTGTTTTTATCCCTTTCCATTGTAATGTTCTCCGCTGTAATAGTCAGAGGGCAATACAGAGGCCTGGAAAGCATTCATCTTCTACTGTTCAACAGCATGTTTGCTGCACTCGGACTTTCAACAGATAGAAGATTCTGTCAAGATTCTAAAATTGCTGGTTCCACAATTCACTGGTAGGACTAGCGACTTTGAATCCACTAACAACCTGCTCAAATCTTGGGAAGAACCCTCCATGAATTTATTCAATGCAAAGCGAAACACAACTGCAAATTAGATGATTATGTACTCAACATGATAAAGGATAAGTCAAAGAGGAAAGAAGGTAATGTCCCGCGTCATCTTGGACAGGGCTTTCGACATTTACGGCATCCAGTCGAAGAGTTGGAGGTTGCGTCATCTTGGACAGGGCTTTCGACAAAGCTAAGGAAACATTTAGCAGATTGACTAGGAAAACCATGGAAACTGACGCTCTTAAGTCAAGGCCTTGGGGGGTCTAAGAAGGACGACAAAGGTTATCAAGCTTCTCCATGTTCACTCTTACGGTTGTAAGATGCTATAAATCGTTTCAGTTCCCTCACAAGAATGTTCTGACTAACATCATGCTTCGTATTTGCAAATGAAGCCTTTGAAAAACATGCTGCATATTCTGCAAGAGTGTTTTCTGCCTATGCTTAATGTTCAAGCAAAGCGAAAAGAATACTCGGTATACACAGTGCAGACACCAGGACGACGATCATTATAAGGTGACCGCAAAATCATTTCGCAAAGGAAATTGACCGGGCCAGCAATGTTCAAGCAAAGCGAAAAGAATACTCAGTATGCACAGTGCAGACACCAGGACGACGATGATTATAAGGTGACCGCAAAATCATTTTGCAAAGGAAATTGACTGGGCCAACATTTGCCACCTTTACTGAATTTCATGTTGCTAACGAGAAAACTTCGGAAAGGCAGCAGACAACAAAAAAGGATATATCCTATGGTCCCATTTAGGTCCAAAAGTCATAAAAAAGCAAATAACTGCGAACAAATATATTGATTATGAATTTTAAGGTGGGATCATCACTTGGAAAGTAAAAGATATCTCCGCCAACAGTACCGATAACCCTGGGTTGCCTAAAACTCGACAACTTGTAGAAATAAAAGTCAGAGTGGTTTTGCTTTTATTTTTTAAAATATTTTTTATTTACAAATATATTGAAATATTATTTTTTTAAATTTATTTTTAATATTAATCCATCAATACAATATAAAAAAATAATTTAAATTAAAAAAAGTTTAGTTTGTTTTTTAAATCATTTAGAACGCCAAAACATCGTACTCAAGAATCATCTCTACAGAAAGTAAAAACGTTGAAACGTGACGTGTAGACCCAAAAGAAAAAACAAGTGAACAAGCCTGAATTCATGATTAAATATGTATATTCATTTCAATTTCGGCAAACAATTTCTACAAAACAAGATAAATTAGAAATGGCCTACAACAGCTACAACAGTACACGCTCTACAGTTAATTAAAATGATGTCATAAATATGATAAACTCACCGAGCCTTTCTTCGGGATTTGAATGGAAAATTGGACGGCGGTGATGGCGAAAATTCAAATGGCAAGTGGGGTGGCTCTGCCTCCCCAGAAAGCATCCCCACAATTTCTTTCATCGTGGGCCGTTTGCTAGGCGATTTCTGCAAACACAGGAGACCAATTGTAATGCAAAGCAATGCCTGATCCTTATCCAACGAATGCACTGAAGCATCAACAATATCCAATAGCTTCCCATTGTATGCAAGTTGCCTGGCCCAAGAGATTAGCATAGCCCTCTCAAATTCTGACATTGGTGAGGCGGTTACTTGCAGCGGTCTTCTCCCAGAACCCACCACAAGAAGCAGAACACCAAAACTATAAACATCACACTTCTCTGATAACAGGCTACCTCCACCATATTCAGGAGCAATATAACACACCGTTCCTCTCATGCTAGGCGTGCTACTAATACCACCACTCCTGGGGATCTCTAAACTAGCCCAATCCTGGCTGTTTCTTCTCCCATTTCTAAATTCACCACTGAAACCATCCAACCACCGATCCATACTACCTCTACTACCCTTGCTCTTCCTCTTCCTCTTCCTTTCTTGCACCCCATCACCATCCTTTTGCCACCATAAATCTCCACTATTACTCGAACTAAGTCCTCTCTTCTTCTTTTTTTTCGTCAGCTCCTCACAAAACTCCTCCTTCCACCACTCTCTAGGCTTTCTATTCTTCTCTTTCTTCTTCATTCTTTCCTCATCTAAAGAAGCCCACCATTCCAATTTCTTCTTATGCTTCTTTGGCTCGCGCTTCAAACTTTTTTTGCTCAACAACTTATTATCACTGGAAATTGGAGACGCTGCATTCCATTCTTGCTTAGGTCTCTCCTTATTAATCTCACTTCCAATCCACTCCATCACATAATCCTTCACTCTCCCCGACTCAGATCCACCTCCGTTATCCTGTTTCCACCACCAATCCCTCCTCGACCCACCTTTCTTCCCTCCACCAATCAGATCTCTTCCACTATCAACACTCATCTTATCAAAACCCGCCTCTGATATACTCCCCTTATGCACCCCACCCTCCGGCGAAACCACTGAAAACATCTCCGGTGACGCATCCGAATCCAAAACCCTAACACCAAAACTCTCCGGCGATCTCACAACACCACCAACGTCTATAATCCCACTCTCTCCGCACCCACTTGCCACACTCTCCGTCTCCTCCAAAATCGACCCATTATCCTCTCCAAAACCCTCTTTCTTCTCCGGGAAACCATTACTCTCCTCAATCCTCAATCTCGCTAGACCAAAATCTCCAATTTTCGCGTTAAAACACGAATCAAGCAAGATATTACCAGGTTTAATATCCCCATGAATCACCGGAGGACTACAAAAATGATGCAAATACTCAAGCCCTTTAGCTACACCAATCACTAACTCGAATCTAACCTTCCAATTCATCAACTCTTCACATTTCCTATCAAACAAAGCTTCTTGTAAGCTTCTATTCTCCATCAACTCATAGACTAAAACTAATTTCTTCTTTCGCGAACATGAGTAGCCAAGGAGGGACACAATATTAGGAGAATCTAAACAAGAAGCAATTGAGAGTTCGTTATGGAACTCTCTTTCGCCTTGAAGAGAACCGTTTTGGTCCATCAATTTAACAGCTAAATGTTGATTAGTGTTAGGTAGTGTAGCTTTGTAGACTGATCCAAATCCGCCGTGTCCGAGGCGGTTGGATGGTGAGAATGAGGAAGTTGCACGGCGGAGGAGAGAGTAGGAGTAGCAGCGGCATTGGTGGTGGTGGTGATTTGGAGATCTTGCAATTGGAGCTGTACGGTTGCGCGTGATTTTGCGATAGAGCAAGACTACGAGTACAATAAGGAAAATGAGAATGAGCGTTAGTGTTCCAGCAAGGAGTGGAGGGAGGAGGCGGATGTGGTGGTGGAGTGGTGGTGGTTCTGATAGAGATCGGAGGTGGCGAGATGGCATAGTGGTAAATAGAGAGTAAATGAAGGGGTTGTTTTAAGTTAAGAAATTCATGAGGTGAGTAACAGAGTGTGGTGTGGTATTTTCTTTCCTTCTTTCCTTCTTCTTTATCGTTGAGAGAAGAGCACTGTTCTGATTTGGTTTTCTATTTTGTGGAGGATAAGAAGAAGTATAGAGTGACAAGGATGTGACATGAAGGAGTGATAAAACTTTTTGAGTACTCGTGTCCGTTATTGGATGGGTTGTCATGGTTTAATCTATCTAGAACGTGAGTTAATTTAGAGGACCATTGGAAATTCGTTTTTAAAAAACTTTAAATTTTTTTAGTTAATATATTTTTAATGTTTTTGAATTATTTTAATATATTATTTTCAAAAATAATTATTAAAAAATAAAAAAATACTATTAATATATTATTTTTAAATAAAAAATACTTTAAAAAATAATCGTAACAAACTTCGTTAGCCTTACTAGAAAAGAGAGCGAGGAGCTGAAATGCTGAATACCATATTACGAATCTCCTCGTCTTGCTCAGATGAAGAAGAGCTTTTCGGTTTTTTTTTTTTTCTCGTATTAAAAAAATTCTTAAGTTGATAACTACAGTTATAACTATAAAACATTTTATAATATTTGAGCTGTAATTAATGAGTATTTATAACATAAAAAAATAGATATAAAGAAAAAGAATTACATTTGATTCCAAAAAAAATTATAAAATCTTTCATGTTAAAAAAATATTTTTTAAAAATTTTCTTTCCATAAGATGTATCAATAATAGTTACATTGAACTGTTCTATTTAACTATTTCACCAGTTGCCGGTTAATTATTTTTTCTTGTAAAAATAATAACATGTACATGCTTTTTTTCTATAAGTTTTTGTATATTAAAAAAATTCTATATATAAATTAAAAATATCTTGTATATATATAATAAAATAACTCAAAAACTATGTGTATTAATAAAAAAATTCATGAATAATAACTAAAAATAAAATTAGAAAAAATCAAGACATTTATTAATCAAAATATTTGATCTTATAAGATAAAATATTTATTCAATTGTGTTTATTAATTTTGTTTATTAAAATTAATTTTTTTTATTCAATTAAACGATAATAAAAATAGGTACACATTAAATTGATTAAATAAAAAAAAATAAAAAAAAATATTATGTAAGATTACTTATATTAGAAATATTATCAAAAAATAAATATTTTTATTTTCAAAAAATATTATTTATACAAAAGAAAAGAAAACATTATAGATGAACCACATTAATATATTTTAAAATTAAATATGCACAACATCATTAAAAAATATTCTTCATCTAAAAAATATTAAATAAGCAAAAATAACAAATCACATATAATGAACAATAATTAAAACATTATATATATATATATGATATTAAAAAATAAATTTATATTTTATAGATTAACTTGTCAGATATATAATACGTCATAATCTTTTTTTCAACTTGAATATATATTTTAAGGCAACATTAAACTTTAAACAACTATTATAAAACTTTTTTTATATTATAAAACTGGCGAGCATCAATATAGTATATTCTTTTTAAATAATAAGATGATAATATATTGAATAATATATTTTTATCACTACAAAAAATTTCTATAGCCCGCTTATTTTTTTCATTTTTTTATTTTTAAAAAATTACATTTTATATTTTAGAATTTATAAGTTCAAAACAACTTGCATTTTAAAGTTGATATGTCAAAAATAAATCAATTACAACTATTAAATTATTTTTAGAATTATTATTATATTTCATTTAATAGTTAAAATATTTTTATAATATATTATTTTTATTAATATACATATCTATACTAATTTAACATTATATAACTCGAACTTAAGATTATAAAAAGAGTAACTCTCTTGATTTCAAATTTTTACTGCTGTTACCTACTAAATGATTAAGGTACTTACAATATTGATATTATAACTTCTTTATTGAACTAAAATTACTAGATTTCCATAAATATAGATAGACATGCTTGTCATTTTTGTTTTGGACTTTTAATTTGCCTGGTATCAGCTGAATGCATAGAGATAATGGGATCTGGATTGAATTTCTAGTATGGGCACTGAAAACATAAATATTATGTCGTAGAATTTGAAAATCTTCTCTGAAGCCTTGGCTTCCTCTCTGATGATGAACCCATCATAAATATACCACACTTCTTGGACAAGACATCAAGAACCTGGTTGAAACACAGAACCAGATCCGCTTGTTTATGGAGACAATTGCAACTTTACGTGGTTAAAACAAAGCATACACAACGTCTCAAAAATATATACTGTGTGGTTGTAATTTAAAAAAAATATTTTTTATTTAAAAATATATTAAAATAATATTTTTTATTTTTTAAAAATTATTTTTAATAATAACATTTTATAATAATTTAAAATATTAAAAAATATTAATTTTAAATATAAAAGATAAAAAAAATCATTTTTTTTCTTAAAAAACTTTTAAAATTCAAAAACCTACATTACCTGAATGTACTTATCACCTGCAGAAGTAAATAAGCCCATCTGGACAGCAAATTCTAGTTCATTACTTTCTCTGGTGTCTTTTCATCCTCTGATTTAATGTTACTGACTATTTCTCGAGACTCAAAATTGACTAATTGGGCTCAAGAGGCTGCAAGACATTTTCTTGGAAGAGGGATATTCAATAATATCCATCAGCTCTAACTTTATTAATGTTATTTTCTATGCACTAATCTATTACTTCCATATCCAAATCCGCTCCCACGGCAGTCCATCTTCTATGCATCAAATTTTATTATTGTGTTTAATTTGAAAACTTAGATTGAACTGGGATATAAAATATAATTCTGAAAAGAATGGGTGCAAAGTGAATACATGAGGTTTATAAAAGGTTTTTTATAATTATTTTAAAAAAATATTAATAATATAAAATATTAGGTTGATCTGAACTAACTCCTATTAATATATAAAACTCATGACTCAGGTTATAAATTGATAATAATTTTATAAAAAATAAATCATAAAACTTAATTTTTAATCTATCAAATATTAAAAGATAATATTAAAAAAATATTCAATTAAAAAATAAAAAAATAATTTAACTTTGTTCTAATAAACTTGTCAGACCTGCACCTCAATCATGAAAATGGGATTAACCTAAAGAAAAAAATAAAAAAAAATGTTATATCCAATTCTCAACTAACCTAACATCATTGGAAAATAAATAAAAAAATAAAAAAAATTAAGTTAACTCATAATAATTTATTAAACTCATAACCTGAGTTGTGCAATTAAGATAATTTTATAAAAAATAAATTTAAAAAATTATAAATTTTAATTATCGACCAACTAAACGATAAATGATGAAATAAAAAAAATAATATAAGTCAACTCAAGTTATTTTTTTAAACTCATATGAATCTTAACACCAGGATTAACTTAAATAAAATATACTAAATAATTACAAAAATTAATTCTCAAAAATCTTAATATTAAAAATTAAATAAATAAATAACAAAAAATAAGAATAAAATTCAGTATAAAAAATAACAGCACATTCTACTATTTTTAACGAAGTAAGGTGTAATTTTTTTTTGCATTCATTTTTTCTCTTTATCTTCACTTTTTCTATGAATTTGTGTCAATTTATTTTTTAATAATGTAAAGCTATTTCCACTAGCAATATTCTCCGGAACACAATTCTCACAAGCAACACTAATTAAATTTTAAATTGTGTTATTTTATCAAAGATGATTTAAACTTATTATTTTATCAATTTGTTTTCTTTAAAATTGTGCTAATCTTCCAAAAAAAAAAGAACTATTGTGAGAAAATTGAACCATAGTCTCTACGCTGTCATTTTCAGTTTTTATTTTTAGCTAGACAGCTTAAATCCATCCCTCAAATCTCGAAATAATCATTTTAAGTTTTAAAATGTATTTTAATCTACTAAAAAAACACAACCATAAATCCAAAAAAAATTCAGAAGTTGTTATCAAACTTGAGGTAGACCTCCTTATGTTTACAGAAGTGGTTATAATTATTTTTTAATGTATTTTTATATTAAAATATATTAAAATAATTTTTTATTTTTTAAAAATTATTTTTAAAATAAACACAATAAAATAATTTTAAATATATATAAAAAATTAAATTTTTAAAAAATACAGGTTAACCCATGCTCTCGAAGACTCCCTTAAACGGTATTCATGGGCGTAGATCAATACGACTCGTTCAAATGGAGGTGATTGTAAGATTTTCAATTAGAACAAACCAAATGAGGAAACAACGAAAAGGACACATCCACGTGATTTCACTATTCAAAGCACCATCTTGTTTAAGTATTTTTGTTAACTGTTAATGTCAAAAGCCCATCGGAGAACAGAAGGAGCCATTTCTCTGGAGTTTAAGCTTACACCGACCTTGTTCATGCTGAACAATCGACGAGAATGTGACAGGAATTAGGACCCCAGATGATGATCTTCATGCACCTTAATGGCACTGCAGGCTCTTAAAAATATCAACAAAGCCATCTGCGTGCGTGTTTGTTGAGTGTCAGCGGAAGACAAATAAATAAATACAAATCAAATTGTGACCGGCGGAGTGCCTAAGCGTAATAGCATCTCCAATGTTAGGTAGTGAGTTAAAAAAAAAAAAAAAAACTATTTTGCCCTTTCAATATGGATGCTAAACATAATGCTATTTTACTATTTTTCTTATAAAAATATTATTAGTAAGAATCTTATAGCATCTCCAAGGGGCTGAAAAGCTAAGTTGGTAATATAATTTTTAAAATAGTGTGTGTATATATGCACTTCAATTGAAAAAAACTAATACAATTATTTATTAATAATAACAAACTAAGACAACTCTAATAAAAAAACTCTTTTTTTATCTAAAAACATATTAAATAAACTTTTAGCTCTTTTCATCCACATGTAGGAATAACTCTCTAGTTTATAAATGTTATTTTAGCTCTTGAATACAACTCCTCCTTTGAGCTATAAAAATAAAGGATGAAAGCTAAATTTTTTTATCCTCTTTTTGCTTTTTTTTAAGATTGTTTGGGGGTATGGTGGCGATTACTTTTAAAAATATTTTTTAAAAAAATATATTAAAATAATATATTTTTTAAAAAATTATTTTTAATACCAACACATAAA